ATGACTATGACCCTGATAAACCGGAAGTAGATAATATGGTTTTGGGAGAGGAATCAAGTTCTGATGAATCTGATTACTTTTCTGCCTCAGAGGAACCAGTGAGTGCTGTTAAAGCTGAACAGATTTTGGGGCTTCCTTCTGATGATTCAGAAGATGATGATTTTGACCCCAGTGCCGCAGACCATGGTGAGCTTGCTAAGCAGGAAAGTTCAAGTTCTGATTTTTCATCAGACTCGGAGGATTTTGGTGCCATGTTTCATGAGAAAGAACCGCTAGGTGAAGAAGCAGGCCATGTATCTTCTGTATCAACTCAGAGCAACCTACCTGTGGGTTCTATCGGTCAAATCTTTAAAGTAGGTAGAGATAAGAGACATTCTTTGAGTGATGAACTATCCTTCCTTTTGGAGTCTAATGATGCACCTGTATCTGGGAAAAGACACGTAGAAAGATTGGACTACAAGAAGCTGCATGAAGTAAGCTGTTATATTTCTTTTTCAGAGTCTCACTATATATGTCTGTACACGTGCATCAATTGGTTGCCGTCATTGAGATGTCCACCATACCCTAAGTCATTCATGAAGCAAAGCACAATTGACATCTAAATTGTAATGCTTTTCCTCCCCCCTCCCGTACCCAACCCCTCATTTGTTTAACAGTTTGATGGTGGAAATATATCATAGCCTAGTATTCTATATAATGCTTTAACTCTTAACAATGTTTTTGTGTAGTAAAATGGCCATGATGCAATGTAGATATGTATTACTAGGCCTTTGTTTGCCGTGATGCTTCTATTATGCGATCATCAACTTTTGTTGTATTTCTGATATTTATTCATCCACCTTTTCTACGATTGGTTATTTTGCTTGTGCTTGTAAAATTTGCAAGCTTGAGGGGGGTAAATTGCAATTAACCTACACCATCTTTGCATGACCATTACCTGATATTTTCATTTTTAAAATTTAGCAAATGCTTCTGAGAGCAGCTTGATTGAGGCCATTCAGTCCAGATGTATGACCTTCTTGGCTCAAGTTTATCATCAAGTTCATTTTTTTCTGTGTCCCTTTGATGCCTCGTATTTGGTCTACTGTGCTACAATTTCCTTTTTTCTTTGATTGTGTTTAAACAAAATTGGAAGCATAAAGAGACTGTTGCTGATGTGAAAAGAATGGCTACCGGGAAAAAAAAAGAGGACCAGACCAAGCGAGTTATTGGCGTAATTCATAGTTAACTTAGCAGCAGAAATGAAGCAGGGGTGTTAGTTCATGGGCAGTCACTGATTTTGAATTGTTGGAGCCCTCATAAATTCTAAATTTAATTGTTTTTGTGGCTTATATTCCTTAGCAGCCTTATTTAACTCATATTTCCTTGATCTGTGTCTTCTATCCGTAATATGAATTTTCACATGTTATATGATTTTGTAACATAAATAAGTTAATCCATACGGAATCTGGAAATGCATGGAAAAGCTGATTTTTTCTTTCTTTCTATCTTTTGATGATTACTTTGACCAGACATTAAACATGTTAATTTTTTCCCAATTGCTCTGACAAAATATGAGAACTACCTAACTTGAAACTGAGTTGTGACTTAATTTACTCTCGTCACATTGCATTTTTGTTCGTCACTATTTCTTCAAGTCTTTAAATCCTTGCCTCTGATCTCTAGTTTTTTCTTGATGTTTTTATCCTGTTCTCTGTGGTTGACTTATTTGCCTTACATGCCTGACCTTCAAAGGAAACATATGGTGATACTTCTTCTGACTCAAGTGATGAAGATTACGGGGAAACTGTAGGCCCAAGGAGAAGGAAGAAAAGCACTGGGAAAGCTATTCTAGTGCCAAGCAATGAACCTGAAACAATACATAAGGGGGCAGATATTAAAGATGAAAATTGCAACCAAAAAGACTTTGAAATGACACCTGTGGAGAAGATCAATAAAAAGTTTGAAATTGAGGGTTCAAACAATATGTCTGTTGACTCACCAAGAATTTCTACTGAAGGTGGTTCAAGTGGCAAGAGGACAGGCAGACCTTACCAAAGACTTGGGGATGGTATAGTTCAGGTACTAATGCTGCTTTGTTCCTGCTGAATCATCAGCTAATTGAAAGTATAAGCAATTAGAGCCTTAACAATTCTATGTAATTATGAAATGTAATTTGCCTGCTTGTGGAAATAGGTCCACTGATGACGGTTTTTTGATGCCTAATCTGTTCAACTACAAGGACAATTTGTATCATGCTTCTTTCTCTAACTTTTTTAGTGGACACTTTAAATGGAAACCATTATTCATATCGGCAATCAGACATGGACTAGGGTTGCAACCTTGTAGATATTTGCCTAGTTTCTTAAAGTATAGAACTATGTATGTTGAATAGTCAGTTTTTTGTAAAGAATTCTGGGAATTTGTTGTGCGCTGAAAAGCAAATTTGTAGCCATGATCTGGGAGACTATAGTTGATTATGTGAACTGTCTGCAAACTTTGTAGTGTAAGCTTAAGAAAAAAGCATAGGAGGATCAAATAATCTACTGAAAAAGCTGAGCCAAATATTTAACAGTTAAATTGGCAAAAGGTAGCTAAAGAAGATGACACCTGTCCTCATAAAAAAAAGGAAAAACTGACATCCTTTCCTTCGACTCATTTTTCTAACAAAGTCGGTCACCATGTTCCTGCAGAGACTTCTTGAATCTTTTAGGGAGAATCAGTACCCAAAGAACGGTGTGAAAGAAAGCTTAGCCAAAGAATTGGGCCTCAGGATCCAGCAGGTTTGTTCATTTTCTTTCTTGCGTTATGGACTGTTTATAAACTTTTCTCTGGGTCTGAGTTCTTTCTACCTTTTGTCATGCAGGTTAGTAAATGGTTTGAAAATGCTCGTTGGAGTTGTCGTCATTCATCTCGCATGGACTCAAAAATGACAGGAACCACTTCGATAAATGGCACCTCTTTACCTGAAATAAATGAAAAGGTACCTAAGCATGGTGAACAATCTAACTTGGAAAGTGCTACTTGTAATGAGGAGGGAAAGATGGCTCTTCCCCAAACCAATCCTTGTGTTGAAGGGCAGCACATTGCAGGTACAGGAGAGGGGAATTCAGCAATTGACTTCAGCCCAGATTCCATTAATGGAAGGTGTACCCAGGTAGACGATCAAATGCCTGATCAGTTATCCAGTGCTGAGGAGACATCCAAGCAGGTCTCAAATGTTAATGCATCAAAATCTCAGTCTGTTCGTAGAAGTGGCAGGTTACAGGCAAGAAGTGGTAACTAAGTTGTGCAAGTTACTTGGATTTGATTCTCATGGAGGAACTGGTATCGGCACTGAAAAGCAGCATCATTTGGGAACTATGGAATATGGCAGAAAGAGCATTCCATTGATTAGCAATCGGCTTTGCTGTTATTGTAGAGCCAACTGCCAATCTTCCAGCTATGCATGAGTGAGTTGGAACTTCGGCTCATAATTGGAGCTTTGTAACGGTTGTTCTGTTGAGTTTAAGAGATTGCTGAGGTGGTTGTGGGTTTTTGCCCACTCGAGTATTGTGTTTATATGTACTGTTTGAGCATCAGCCATTGGATCAGTGGCTTAGGTGGCTGGGGACAGATTTGGGTTACTGAAGTTGATTAAACCTGTCAACCATTCTGCCGGGTTCCGCAACACTAACCGTGAGTTTGGATGAGTCGGAAGGTTCTTTGTTGTTTCCAGTCATTGCAGGGAGTTTAACCAAGTTGCAGTGCGTCGGAGCAACCCAGGGACAGAGGCTCAAACGTGATGGTCATCGTTGCTGAAGTTTTGTTTAGAATGTATGTTCTTTTTCGTAGGTCCCACAAAAAGGAAAAAAAAAAAGAATATTTATCAATCATATACCTTATCCAAAATTCATATGTAATGATTATTGAATATTAAATTTGGGTTTATGGCATCAAAAGGTTATGCTTTCATAGATTAAAAGATGCGTCGGATTTACATGTATGCTGGAAGCAGATGTCTGTGTGTTTGGCAACTGATGGTAAGATTAGACACTTACTATTATTACAAGTTGAATATACAATGAAAGTGGGAAGAGCTAATCCATATATATTATCTATTTTCAGAAGCATAATGGCTTCTGTAAATTCCAGCTTTGAAGAGATAGTTTAGTAAAGCATGTGCTAAATTAGCTCTTCGGCGAAGAGAGTGCACGAATTTGGAGTGCCAGACGACAAAAATAAAATGCGGCAGTTCTCCCGAGTTAAAGTTAGATGTTAGTGTTCCTTTACGGGTCACAATGTGGCAAGGGTTTAATTCCACGAAGCTCAAGCTCCCACAACTAGCCAAAACTGAAGTCCATAACCACATAACCATCCAAATCTAAAACTGTATCTGTGCTAAACCTGATTCTGTTTAACGTCAAAGTATCAAACCCAAACTTGGGTTCTAATTTCTTATTACTTTTTAGTCTATAATGATCGAGTCAAGTTTAAAAAAAAATTAAAAACACATTTTCCAATCACCTTGTTTGGAAAGCCATTTGTTCACAAAAAAATTTTACAGAAATATTTTTCAATCACTTTTTTATCGTGAATACTTAGACTTTGTTTAATAACTCGATTCAACATTTAAACTTAACAGATTCAGATCTTAATATGTTTAGAACCGTTTGATAATAAAAAATTGAACATCTGAATTAATTAAGTAGAGCGCAAAATTTTCTAGGCAAAATTTATTTCAAAAAATATGGTGATCTATTCATAAATCACTGAATGTAATATATACTCAAATATATTAAATTTAATACTTGACAATTTAATAGGTTCAAATTTTAGTTTTATCAAATGTGCGTCATTACAATACATTTTATTATGAAATTTCAGAAAATAGCAATCCAAACGGGGGTGCAGGTTCATGCTTGGTTTTGGCCTGCGCCGAAACTATAGACCGAATGGAATGAAGTTCCAATCCAAGAGCCAAAAAAAAGAACAAAAGGGCGAATTGAAAACTGCCATGAATATGACCCCATCACTTGCGCGCTAATTTCATTTTTGAACACAACAAAATCACCCTATGCCCACCCGCCTACTCGAACGCACAATCTCCTTCGGTCTCACTTCCCATCTTCATCCAAAAAGAAAACCTCGACAGAGACAGTTAGATCCTCAAAACCACATTCGAAGTTGGAGACTCTTTTCACACATTCACGTACTCAACAACAAATCATAAATGGGCGAGCAAGAGAACTGCCTGGGGAGCACTCCCGGACGGCCATCAAAGAAACGGCCCATGATGACGGCTGCTACCACTACTACTACCAATATTGAGTCTCTGCAAGGACGGCAACAACTTTCAGTAACCACCAAGAAGAGGGTCGTCTTGGGTGAGCTCACCAACATCCCCAAGATTGTCGAGTTGAGCAGTATTCCAAAGCCTGTCCACCCGAAACCAAAATCCAGTACCAGTAGAGAAAAAGAGGAGGTAGTGAAATCAGATGCTCATGTTGATCGTTGCCCTGATGTTTCCCGCAAATATGCCGATGCCCCTCTCATTTATCAGCATCTTCGCTCACTGGAGGTAACTTAAATTTTTCCATCAATTTTGCTCTCTCCTCAATTAAACTGTGCTGTTAAGCCATTGTTTTTTATTCCCTACAAGGCCGAACCAAAAGTTGGTACTGTTTGGAAATGAAATAATCGGACGTCTTAGTTTCCAATTCTTAGTGTTTCTCATATTGGATTTCAAAAATATGTTGCAGGGCGATTTTATGTGAAATCTTTGATTCCCCTTCAAATGTAATTCCTAGGTACTTATGTCTTTTGTGGGTGCATGAAATTTGTGGTTGACGATGTTTAGGAGCTCTTTAATTGCCAATCTTTTGTTTTAGTGCTAAGTGTTTTCTAGTGGTTCTCTTGTTGCAGTATATCAATTAATATTAGTGTACTATTCTTGTACGACAAATTTTACTGAATGTTTTATGAAAACAAAAATTCAATTTGCACCAAGAAGTCGTATTCTGCTTGAAGAATATATTTGGACCACTTATCCTGAAGTTACCTGCTACACCTTAATTTGCCTGCTAAGAAATTGATTTTGATCAACACAAAAAGTATATGTTTAATAAATTGAACACCTAACCTTTCTGCAGATAATTGAGATTTTATGTGTATTCTTGTGGGGAGATATTGAGGTGAATAATCTGGATACTGGGTAATTAAAGTGAATGCATCAACCTGGCTTAATTTTCTGTACCGAAGACATGTTAGTTGGGATATGTATCCTTTCATATACATAGTGATTCATCCTCTCTTAGTATGTTATCATTAGTTCAGATCGATAAAAATCTCATACTAGTCTAGCTCTTATGATATAGGTGGAAGGAAACAGAAGGCCGTTGCACAATTACATGGAGAAGGTTCAGAAAGACATAACACCAACTATGCGAGAAATTCTAGTTGATTGGCTGGTGGAGGTTGTTGATGAATACAAACTTGTCTCTGATACTCTTTATCTGACTGTGAACTACATAGATAGATTCCTATCCTCACATGCTTTGTCGAGGACGAAACTTCAACTCCTTGGTGTATCCAGCATGCTTGTAGCTGCGTATGCTCATCTGAACCTTATTAGTTCCTTCTTCCTCCCACCCCACTGTCTTGGTCAGTCTTTGCCTTTGCCTTGGTTAATCTCTTTTGTCTGCTCTAACTGCAGAAAGTTTGAAGAAATTACTCCTCCACATATTGAAGATTGTTGCTACATAACAGATAATACGTACACCAGAGAAGAGGTTCTTTGTTTCTCTAGCTAATTTTTATGTTTTTCCTTTTTTTCTGGAAAGCCCTACTAAATTTCCGTTTGCTGTGTTTGGTGTCAAATACAGGTTGTAGCTATGGAGAGCAATATACTAATGTTTTTAAATTTCAATACATCTAATCCAACAGCAAAGAGTTTTCTCAGGTCAGCCAATTTTCAAGTGTTTTATTGGTTGCTGTTTTTATCTATCACTTCCAACCCTATATGTGCACAGCATTGATTAACTCATGGCATTTGTGTGGTGGCTTTGCAGAACGTTCACCAAGGCTGCACAAGAAATCTCAACGGTATGCCAATCCCTCTATGCTTTGTAATGTTTCTTCTATTTTGCGCTCCTCAAAATAATACCTGTGATCAAGCTCCCTTGTCTTTTCTAGTTTTCCAACTTGCAATTTGAGTTCTTGGCTTGTTACCTGGCGGAGCTAAGCTTGCTAGATTATATCTGTGTGAGGTTCTTGCCATCAATGATTGCTGCTTCAGCAATTTTTCTTGCTAGATTTACAATGCTACCAAGCATTCATCCCTGGGTAAGATACAATACACATTTATCAGTCATTTGTTCATGCAGGACGTGTTACCTGCAGATTATTCTGTCATTAGTTTTAATTTTTGAACCATGGAGTCAAGCAGTCCAAAAACTTCAAAAGAAAGAATAAATCACAAATTTCTTCTATCTACCTCCCTTTTCCAGATTCACACTGTCAATTGAGGCCTGAATCCTGTATTTGTTGAGAACTACTTTTTCTGCTTAAGCTTGTCAGCAAGTTTTATCATTCTTCACCTGAGAGTTTGCCATTCAATAAATCTGGAAACGACATGTTTGATTTCCAATTGCGAAGTGCACAAATTCTGGAGAAAAAATAAAACCAAATATACCTAAAAATGATTTAAAATGATTACTCCTTGCTTTTCTTAGCTGGCAAGATAACATGAACTTTTTCCTCGGGTACCAACATCTAATCTAATATAGTCATATGCCAAAAGTTACTTCAAATAAAGAGCGCTCAAATGAATAATCGTGCTTGTATTATATGTCTGTTGATGCACACGCGAAATGAGGATTCTAGATGCAAATTTTTTGAGCTTCAACTTAATTAGGAATTGATTGCACTCCCTTCTAGTCTTAACAGTAATCTGTACTATGTTTATGATATGGACTTACTTTTAAGTTGCTGCAGAGTTTGGCATTGCAGAGATATACAGGTTACAAAGCATCTGATTTAAAGGAGTGTATCCTTGCCATTAATGATCTACAGCTTAATAGAAGACCGACCTCTGCACAAGCATTAAGAGAAAAATACATGCAAAACAAGGTATCCTAACTTTGTTTACCATATGAGCTTTGTACTTAAAAGTGGCACCACAGTGAAGTACTTTTTTCTCTTTTTCTTCTTTACTTGGACCCAGTTGTGTCATGGGCTCTGTTGCTTAAATTTGTTTAATAACTACTGACTGTTTTAGTACTATTACTCTTGTGAACAGTTCAAACGTGTTGCAGCATTGTGTCCACCCTCAGAGATTCCCAGTCATTATTTTGAGGTGGTGACTGGAAAGCATTCTTCAGAAGCTCAAGAAGCCCCACTTTGAGTGTGCATAAAGATCTTAATTCTGACGGATAACCACCATATGTCTTGATCTGTCTTGGGAAGATTAATCTATAAGGTGGCTCGTGGACGAGTTCATCAAGTGGGTGTCAAGGTTTGATGCTTTGCATCTCCAGAAGACAGAAATGGATGCTGACCTGAGAGTTTTATCCTCTGGATTTGATAAAGAGACTACAATAAATTTTTTTCCCCAACCTTGAATAAGAAAATGTTAAGTACTTATGTTATTCTAAAGTCCAATGTTTGTGCATCTGCATATAGTAAACCTAAGGGATAATTTCAGATACCTCTCTTGAGGTTTCTGACAGTTTCACTCCCCTCCCCTGTGGTTTCAATAATACCACAAACTTCCCTTAAAACTAAATAGGCAATGTCAAAATAGATCCAATTTAAAAATACAAACAATAAAAAATCAGTAGCTGGAGAGAGAAACAAAAGTATACTACAAATGCCCTCATTATCTTGCATCAATGAGCTAATGAAGTAAAGAAGAATGAAACTTGAGGAGGTGTAAGTGAGACCAATGCATTCATTAAGGTCTGAACGTCAGTGGTGAACAAAATAGAAGCCAACGGCTCTTTCTAGCGGTTAGTTCTAATGTTCATATGCAACGGCCAGTTTAGAAGGCTATTTATGAGAGTAAAATGCAGCAGCAAGAGATGCAACAAACAGCAAGAAACAAATGTTAATTGGGGAGATGCAACTGAAGTGCTTGATGTTGGATGCAACTAAAGTGCTTGGTGTTGGATGAACTGTAGCAGCAACAAATACACGCACAAATGGCCAATTCAAGCAGCAGAGGTGAATTCTGGAATTCACCTACATCATTTACAATTAGAAATAGATATTGTCGATGTAATCGCAAGACAATCATTAAAATTTTTGAGAGTGTACAGAATCCACACAAGCTGTGCTTTTGCTACACAAATTGCAGATTCTTTGAATGGTATGAAGGTCCAAAAGAGGAAGAGGTGAGCAGCCAAAGAGAACGCAGACATTCATCAATGCAAAGGGAAGAACAAGTCCAGATTGGTAGAGTTGAACAACAATACTCCATAGTGACAAAGCTAATGATACTTAACCTTATATTCTTAGCAATTTATATGTTTATTCAAATTGTGAAGTCAGTTTAATGAGACTGATGCAGTAGAATGCTGAACAAATGGCAGATTGTTGAAGTAATATTCCTATTGCTATTTGCTGAACTTATAGTTGAAGTATGTGCATGCAAGACGTTGTTTATTATGATCTTACTAAGACAATACCATACAATCAGATTTACAACAAAAATATGAAAAGTAACACCCTGCATATTGCACTTTACTCTAAAAATACAAACTGTATGTCTTTAATGAATTTACACTGCTGCTTGGAATTCAAATGTCAGGCAAAAAATCATGCATAGGTTCTAAGTCCATAGATGGTATACAAAACCAAAAGTTGCTCCAAAGTTTCAGTAAAACTAACAGTGACAAAAGTATCTCCAATTCTAAATAAATACAAAAGAACAGCAGTATTGTTTAGTAGTTGCATAACAACAACATATGACAGGAGAGGTCTAACTATTTAAAACCTCAAGCCAAAGCTGCTACTGAGATTGTGTGAGTCATGATTAGTTGATGTATTGGTGTTCACAGAAGTTTGGAAGTGGAAATTTCTAGTGGAATTGGCTCTAGCAGTTAGCATAACTGGCATTGGTTGTAAAGCTGCAAATGAAGTTCTCTTCTTGATATTAGTTATAGCAGATGTTCCATCTTTCTTTGAGGGTCTTCCTCTCTGAAATGATGTAGGATAAGTGCATAAGATGAGCAACTCAGAATTGGTAAAATAATTTCCAGTCAAGCAGCACAAGATACCTTTCTCTTAGCAGCATCCATAGTTGTCTGTACATTCAGTTGAATATTAGCTGCACCAGGTTCAGTTGATGGGCTTGGATTGCTGCCTTGACTGGAAATCACAACAGGCACACTCCCATCTACGTGATCCTGCATTAGGAAAATCTCCTCATAAGTAGTTAACAGCTAGTTATTTGATACTAAATAGTTAGAACTCACTATATCTACAATAAAGTAATGTTTACCAGAGCACAGATCTTGCCAAGCTTGTGTTTGCAATTCCCCTGCCAGGCTTTACTCTTCTCTTAGGAATCTGTACATGAAGCTGAATGTCATGATCTTAAGTAAAGTGAACAAAGTAACATAATGAATATTACAAATCAGTAATGAACCTGCTGATTTGTTTGCGTGGCAGAGTTATTTCCTCTCACAAGTGCTCTTTGGCATGTTCTTTTATTATGGCCAAAAGCATTGCAATTCCTACATCTCAAAGTAGTAGACCTCTTTGTCTGAAATGGAGCTGGTTCATCAGGTTCTCGCCTTCTATTCACCCTTGATCTACCTGGAGCTCTCCTCAAGGGTGGAGGTAAGATAATTGTTGGAGTGACATCAGGTAAAGGAAACCATCGTTTCTCATGAGAAATTGGACCACTATATGCCTTAAACCACAATTCTGTTGAGAAGCAAGCATCACAGTAAGTCTCTAATTTTTGTCTTCTATATATAATGCCTAGTGTAGCATGCTTACAAGACAGTCCTGACAATTGAAAAGCACCACAATCACAAGTCTTTTGGGTCAAATTAACAATGTATTCTCTTCTACATCACCAACTTCAAATATTTCCTCACTTGTCATTTGCAGTGATCTCCAAGACAGTCCAACAATTCCTTCAGCTTTTCAGTGATCTTTGAAGTGATGTTAGAGCTCCATGTGCAGGCCTTCTGATATTTTTTATGCAGTTTTTTCATGATCTTTTTCCTTAAACCATCAGCAAGAGTCAGTATTGGTTTAGCTCTTAAATCTCCCATCCATGCATTGAAAGATTCAGTAAAATTGTTTGTGACATGGTCACACTTCATCTCAGTTGAGTATGCGTGCCTAGCCCAAGACACAGGTGGAATTTTTGATAAATATCTCTATGCTTCTATATTCATGTCTTTAATGGAGGCCATTGCTTCATTGTAGCATATTGCATCATAGCTCTTAGCAACTTTCCAAAACAAATTGTTCAGTAATAGTTCAGGAAATTGAAGCCTAAAGTTGCTGCAAATGTGTTTGCAACAATACCATCCAGTAGCTAATGGAATCATCTCCTCATAAACAAGATTCAATTCCTACAGCAAAGATTAAAACCAATCAAATAATAGGCACAGCTGGACATATAGAATGAGACATTTGCCATGATAGTAAAGTAAACAAGGTCTATACCTTTTGTCTATCACACATGAATGTTAAATGAACACTATTATCAAATGGTCCAAAGAATTCTTGAAAAAAGTAAAAGAACCAGCTCCAGGTTTCTTTGTTTTTAGATTCAGCCACAGCAAATGCAATAGGAAAAATTGAATTATTTGCATCTAATGCCACAGCAGTTAGTAATACTCCACCAAAACTACCTTTCAAGTGATAACCATCAAAACCAATAAAAGGTCTACAACCAGTTAAGAAACCATTTTTCTGACATTTGAAACTTATAAACAATCTAAAAAATCTTGGCTCGACAAGTAAATTGGGTCTGTTATAGTGAATTTTGCATATGCTACCAGGATTGCTCTGCCTTAAAAGAACAACATATTTTGGCATCTTACTATATGAAGTTGCATGTGTACCCTCAATTTCCTCCCTGGCCTTTTCTCTTGCCCTGTACACTTATTGTTTGCTAGGATGAACACCATATTTTAGTATCTTAGCTTCAATCCCCTTTCTTGAAATGTCAGGATGATTTCTTATCACAGCAACAAGTTTCTTGGCCATCCAATCAGAGGTGGTCTCTCGACACTTGTTGTCCATCACACAAGTGTGTTCTGGTATGTATGATTTTATCATATATGTCACTAAATCTACTAAAGGTGAGACATGAATTATCCACTTGCATCCATTAACACCATATTTGGTCGTACATCGACATTTTTCATTCTTCAATCTTTGTAGGGGAAAATCTTTTTGGATCACATAATCCTTTAATGCTGCTATAAAAGCATCAATATTTGTGAAAAGCTGTCCCTTCTTAACTCAATGTCCTCCCTTCGATTGTAAGTCCACATCTTAGCTCTTAAGGCTTCTCTCATGGGATCTATTTCATGTTCAGATTTAGAATCAGGTACAATATTCGCATTTTTCTTGTCATCAAAGTCAGAAAAATCATCATCACAACTGTCACTTTGGAATACAGACCAATGCTCATCATCTAAATCCTCATTGTTACTATCCCAACCTTGTTTCCATGATTCATCAGACGTAGAATCACAACTGTACTCTTAGTCTCACAGTTTAATTCATGAATCTCGATTTTCTTACTTCTAGTAGTTTTTTCAGTTCCTAAATTCTCATGCTCATTTATTGGATTTCTGTTTAGAAAGCTATCACTCTGTTCGGCAGGGATGATATCCATTTCCAACACTAGTATATTGATGACTACATGAGATTGATGCAGCTTGAACATTCAGCAATAGATTGGTCATCATTCACATCTAAGTACTCAGCTGTACCAGGTATTTCGCATCTCATGTGCATTAGTAGATTGACATTTCCAGCCATTTCTTGCAATGCCTTCTCAGCAACATCATTTAGAAAATCAATGTACAAGTAACTCTTGGGATCTACCTTAGCCACTCTTACTTTTCTTCCCACAAAATACAGCACAATATCATGAACATCAGTGATAACCATCCTACAATAGACAATCATAAGCTACTGAAGTTGCAATATTAGTTATTGAAGTTACAGAAAATATTAGCTATAATATTAACCGTCTTGCAACATTGGTTGCTGAAGTTACAGTGTAAGCATAAGCTTTCTAAGTACCGAGGTTTGGCATCTAACTATATCAAATAACCCAAGTCAGACGAGAAATTTAGAATCAAGTAAACATAATCTGGTAGAGGCTTAGCAAACCAAGTCACATGACAAACCAGAAAATCATAAGCAAACATGTATCAAGCTTACGCAAACAACAACCAAATCATCATAAGCTGCCAATATCATATTGAAACAGAGTACGAAATCATAAACACTTACCTGGTAAATTTTTCTTAATGAGCTCAGAGACTCTTCAATTTGTTTGCCAAGACCTTTGTTCCTCAGGGGAGCTTTCTTAACGAGAATCAAGAGCTTTGTTTGCCAGCCATCAACCTCAGTTGCTATATCTCGACAATGGTGGGAACAAAGTAAGTTTCTTGCTTCTATATATACCGTGTCTGTCAAGCTGTT